ACTTAACTGTAAACGCGCAAGTTTCCACCGCTCCCTCTCTCCCTTCGCTTCAATTCAACTGCGTTCGATTGGTAATAGTTGTATGAATATATACATATATATATATATATATATATATAGAATATTTTGATCGATATAATTCGTAATCCTCTCCTGTGATTAATAACGTTCTGCAAATTATCATCCCGTTAACTCGAGATGATTCTCGGAATGTAAAAGGAAACTTAGAAATTCCAAGTCCATTCTATTCCTTTCCGTGGCAAATTTACCGAAACTCGGCTCAATCTTATCGACCAACGGCTTACGGATGCCAACGTTTCGCTTCGAGGGCTCAACTTCCGTATATAACAAATGATATTCGGAATCTCGTTAAAGTTCAAGTTCGCTTAATACAGGGATAAGTAAGGATCGTTCGCTTGCTTTAAAGATTCATCCTTTAAAAGCGTACGATTTTTACCATGGGGAGATTGTAAATCAAACGAAACGCGAATATCTTTCGATCGATTTTCGATCCTTTTCTTTTTTTTTTTTTTTCTTTTTAATCAACGATTCAACTTGAATTCTCGCTATTAAGAAGCGAGAAATTAAGAAGAATCACTTTTCGAGAAAGGGATACACAAAATTGTACATCGTTCTCTGCCGAAATCTAATCCATTTGGTCGAATGAACGAATCTTACCTTTCGAAATCTTAACCTCATAGATAAAAAAAAAATGTGTTGGCTCGTAAATAGTAACGACGTTGCCGATCTTGATGGGAGAGAGAAGCAAACGTGAGGGGACAAGAGGGTCTTCTGAACGAATTTACACGTGTCCCCGCCGTCCAACAGATGCTTCTCCCTCCCGATTTGCATAAAATGAAACCTGCAGCATCCGTCCCCTCCCCCAAGGGACGCTGTGTGCCGGACTTTAGAATCCCATCCCCTTCCCCATTATCGGAAAACGTGGCCCGGATTTAATGCGCGTAAGCCGGTTAATCGTGCACGCCAATGCGTTACACGTTACACGAAAATTAACTTAAAATTGAAAAAAAACCAATTTCGTACAAGCGCCGCCAAGCGCTGTTTCCATTCGTCGTTAAAAGAGAAAAGAGAAAAGAGGGGGAAGTGTGGAAGGGAGAGAGGGGAGAGAGGGAAGGAGGGAGGGGCAATTTGCGACGCGGCTACCTTACCCGCGATATGACAAATGGACGAAATGAAGTCGAGTGTCGATTTAACAGATGTATCTATTAAAACAAATTCTTGTTTTTCTTATTTTTCTTTTCTTTTCTTTTTCTTTTTCTTTTTCTTTTTCTTTTTCTTTTCTTCTTTCTTATCTCGTACACATATACGAATATCGCGAAATATTTATTATTATTCTATAAGAATATTACAGTCAGGTGATGGTTAGAAGACATACATGTTCGATACATGTCGAAATCGTTGGCGCGACGACGCGACGCGAATCATCTTCTCTCGCGGGTTTTTTTCGATTTCGGTAGAAAAATTCGGTTCGCGTGAAGGTAAACGTCGAAGCTCATAAATCACGGGGATCTCTCTCTCTCTCCCCTTCTCTGATGCGCGTCATTGATTCGTCGATATCGATCGGGTGACGACGATTTTTGACGGGAACAGGCATGGACAATGAAGAAATTCGTCCGTTTTCGTTCACCGAAATATCGTGTCCATTAGGAGAACCAGGCTGAACAAAATCGCCCTCCTGTTGATGTTCCCGGTTCCACCGTGTTGCATAGCTGCAGGATGTTCACCTGAAAGAAAGAAAAATCGCCTGTGTTCATCGTATGTTGTCCGTACGAACCGTCCGCAGCTAGGAAGAAAGAGGGAAAAATTTTTATCGAATTTTAAATGAAATTTCCATAACGAAGCTTTCGATTTACGTTTGAGAAAATTACGCCTTTTTTTTTTTTTAAACATTCGAATCGAACTCGTAAACTTTCTTCCTCCATTTTTTTTTCCTCTTTTCCTTCCAACTATATATATATATGATGAAGTTTGAATGCGATGAACCGATCGAAAAGATAATCAAATTTTTCGCGAAATATTTTTAAAATATTTCGAATCGTTCGAACAATTCGAGATCTCGAGGATTTGGCGGGAAAAAAAAGGTTCTTTTTTTTCTGCCTCCTTTCCCTCTCCTTAACGAAAGAGCTCTTCCTTGAAAAGAGAGTCGTATACTCTATTATTTTTATTCTCACCGTTCAACACGTGTACCATTACATTCGCAGCGACCTTGCTCGACACGCACGTGTAATTACCACTGTCGTCATGTTGGGCGCGCGTTATTAGCAGCTTGCTAGTGGTCCCGTTCTTACCTTTCTCCGTTTCCAGGGAAACGCCACCCCTGTCAAAAGTAAAGACATTATTAAGGACGAATTCCGATAAAACCGATCGGATATCGGATCGACGCCTTTCTCTCATTCTCTCTCTCTACTTCTATCCCTCTCCCTCCCCCTCTTTTCTTTTTTCTCGAAAGGGAAACGATTTGTGATTTTACCTCTCTTTTCTTTTTCTTCCTTTTTTCTCTTAAATCGAATAGAAAATAATAATAATAATAATAATAATAATAATAATAATAATAATAATAATAATAATAATAA